ATTACTATTAAAAATATCTTTGATGTTGAATAACTTTTGATATACTGATCTGTTTTTGATGATCTTACCACCAAAATGTTCGTCTCGCCGATACGAACAGTTTGGTAGTAAAATCATCAAAAACGGATTAGTATATCAAAAGTTATTTAACATCAATATATTTTTAATAGTAATCTAAAAATTACTAATAAAATAACATAAAATCATAACGATCTTGGGATTCTGTGATTGGATTTTAACGATTTTGAGCTTGTTAGAATTCTCTCACTGAGACGAACATTTTGGCAGTAAAATCATCCCAAACAGACCAGTAGATCAAAAGTTATTGCCAATTTTACAAATTAGCCAATAAATTATTAAATTTTAACCAATCAAATGCTCAGAAAAATTATCAGGTGGGGTAGGGGGTCGGCCACTTAGTGAAACCCTAATCACCTGATAAATAGCGCTTCCCTAATGTAGTCTAGACATAGTACCATATCTATTACTTCATCAGAAGCATCTGGGGGAGGATTCTTCTTATAAATAGATATCATAGTTCAAGCAATATCCGGATAACAGCCAATCCTATTACTGTCAATGGGATCATGTACTTTACTTATTGTAGTGTGGTATTCTGCAATCATGTTATATGCTAATCTTTTTCACACATATCTACGAAAAATTCTATGATATTATTTATAGGATATTGTACAGGATCCACATTCATTTTATCGCACCAAACCAACTACCTCTTAAGCGAGAAACTGATTGTAGCATTGGATGTTTTATAGTTACTTCTTCTAACAGTTTAACAGCTTTATCTGAAAAACCTTTCTTTTTGAAGTTTTTCTGGAGATAAGACAAATGAACACATTCCACTTGTGATTGCGAACTGGTTGTAGATTGCTGATCTATCCTAGTAGAAATGGTTTTGTGTCTATCAACAGGATTGGCAAATCTATCAATAAGTCCAATAGTATTGAAAACTATGTTGCCAATAGCCAATACGGTATTACTAGAGCTATAGTTGCTTTGTTGCAGATGACCTTGGACAAGATTTTGTGTATCATTATTTATGGTGAATTCGCTCAACCTATTAGAGTCATCCAACATTGTGCCAAGGCATCTACTGCCTGACAATTCAGATTTGAAAACCTGGAGAAATATTTCAGAAGCAAGGCATTGATCTAACTCACAAACAAATCTACTTGAAAGAGACCCCATATCCTTTAAATTTTGTTGAATATGCGTGGTTTGATTATCTAATCATGATGATCGTAAGGTCTTTTCGATGCCAAAATGTTCTGACTTCCTGGGATATGTTGTACTATTATTTTTAGGTTTCGTATTAGACATAAATTCCAGATTGATTCTGTTATTCGACTGAGCTATAGTGAGACTGTGTTTCCTTGATTATTCAAGTATGATACACATGTTATATTGTCTGTACGTACTATCACCATTTGATCCTTTAGATTCTTGAAAGCCTTGAAGGCATAGTGAATCGCTATTAATTCTAGCATGTTTATGTGCAGTTTCTTTTGTTCATGATCCCAATAGCCAGATAGAATCCAAGATTCTCTTGTTATTCCCTATTCCAGAGATGAAGCATATGTGTAAATTATGGTCATAGGTATCTCTGATATTAAGCTTACTCTGTTCTAGTCTGAAAGGTACTTGATCCACCATTTTAGTTGTAACTGGTTCTCTGGAGTTAAGGTAAGAAAAGAATCCCAACCATTCTTTTTTAGCACCATATTTTTGTCTTTTAACAACTTTCTTATTTTTAGTCAGGCTGGGAATATGGTACTAGTAGCTGCTGAGAGTTTTCTAATTAATGCTACGAGTTTTCTTATGTGAATATGTTGTCTTTTGAGTACTATCTTGTATTCTTTGCAGATATCCATTATTTTGCCCTAGGAAGTGCAATTATCATTTTCTTGGAATTTATATTGAATCCTAGATACTTTATTTCTTGTGTAGGCACTAACACTGACTTTTTTTGATTGATTATGAACCTGAGGTTTTTCAACTTTTCCATTACTATTTTCATATATATACTGGCTTCCTTTTTTGTTCGTGCATATATCAATATATCATCTAAATATGCTATTACCCTTATTCCTTTAGATCGTATCTATGCAATTACCGGTTTCAAGATCTTTGTAAATACCCTAAAACTGCTTGTCAGCCCAAAAGATAAGCAATTGAATTGGAATTGGTATTCATTGAACTCAAAGGTAAAGTAAAGCCAAGCATACAACAATAAGAGTATATGTCAAAAGATGTCTATTATATCTACCAATATGAAATAGTCATTTCTTTGAACTATAGTTTTTACGTGTTCTATAGTTTCCATCTTGAAATGAATGAAACGTATATAAGAGTTTATTTTTTGTAGATCTATAATCACTTGAGATCCACTATCTTTTTAAAAATATTCGATAAGAAATATTGTTCTTCTTTTAAAACTTCCTTTACTATACCTTTTTGAATTATCATCTGTATTTTTTGTTCAATTATTTCGTTATCTTGTCTTTTTGCTATTAATATCTGCTACAGCTCTTGCTTCCGTAAAGGGGTAAGCTTGTCTATTTGAGAGTGTAACCTTCTGCTAGTATGCCTGTTACCTATGAATATCCAAATATCTCCTTCCATACATGCATATGTTGTGCTAACCTTCCTCCAACTATGATTTTGTTCTGGGTTACTAAGAATTCTGTGCCTGGTGCCCAGATGTACTTGTCTGAGCACTCTATTGTCTGTTTTCCTGATTATTATTGTTGTTAAAGGTTCTTTTATGAAACCAATAATTTGTTCATTTTGTATTGTTTCTATTATACGCTGGGTAAAAGAGAGTTGGCTTTTTGAAATTACTAGTGTTGCTTCGATTTAAAGCATGAGCCTTGTTTCTAAAAGCCTTGTTAATAAAATTATTCGTGGCATTCTCCCTTTCAACCAAATCTTTAAGGTCTTCTCTAAATACTTCATCTGCATCCAAAAGGTTCTAATAATTTGGTAAAATGGTTTTAAGAACCTGTTGCCATCTCGAGTCATTAATAAAAGATAATGCAGTAATGTATCAAATAATAAAGTCTGCGTGTTAGTAAACGATGTTTCAATATCTTCCCATGCTTGCAATACTGAATAGTCACTGTTAGGGGGTTTTGATTGATATAATGCTCTAAGTACATTATCCAGTAAGCAAAGTACTGCTGATGTCCTATACGATATTTTTGCTATGACTTTATCTGATTCCCTAGATTGAGGGGATAGTAACTTCCATATTCTTTTGTTCATAGTTAGTAATAAGTATTTAATATTGAAGTTTCTTGGTTCTTGCTTAAGAATTGCTGCTCTTTGTTCTTTAGATAGCATATTGTCTTTATGAATTTTTGTGAGATGCTTACATATTTCTCCTGTTAGAAGCCAAGAACCTGGTAGGTTTGTTTCTAATTATCTAACTTTATCAAATCCCAACAGGCTTTCATGTTCAAGTGAATTCGACGTGTCTGATAAGCATTCATCATGTAATATGTCAACAGGTATGTCCTCATTATTTTCTTGGAAAGTGGTTTCTTCCCAGAGGTTAGTGTCTTCATTTTCAAAGACTTGTAACTTTATTAAAAGCTTCTGACATAATGAGACATTATTATTACAGCACGAATAGCAGCCAAAATAAAATGGCCCAAAAAATAAATAAGAGAAGCTATCCTATATATATACAAAAAAAAAAAAAAATCATATGTAATCTTATAATATTGTACTACATAATTGGATCAGCCAATAATAAGACAAGCCAACTATACATGATATTGTCTATCATAGTGAGTGAAGTTCATTTGAGTTTAAAGGTGTGAACATAAGGATCTACAAATTGGTGATTATACAAAGTCTTATAGTTTATAATATTATATTCTTATCTTTAATTTCAAATATCTTGGGATCTACTAGTCTGATTTTGATGCTCTAAAAACTATTAGAACCAGAAAAGATAGCTCTACAACTTTAATTAGAAGGCCAAAAAGATTATCTTATTGAAAAACTTCTTTAAATCTTAATTATATATAATGTCATAAATTATCATAAAATCAGATTATTGTGAAATCCACGTGATCTCTATTTCATTAGATTTTCTAAAATTTTTGAAAATTATGTAAACAATTGATCTAATTAATCTATACTATAAAACAATCCTATATGCTGTATAAATCGCATTCTTGATATCTATATATAAAAGACCTTCTAACTGTATCAAAAGGGTGATCCTAACCTTAACCCTAAATACAAAGCAAAATTTTAATATATGCCTATATGCTACATAAATCACATTCTTGATATCTATATATAAAAAACCTTTTAACTGCATCAAAAAGATGACCCTAACCCTAAACACAAAGCAATTTTTTTTTGTTAATAGTTTATAGACTCTTTTTTGCTTTGTTGTTAGGGTTAGGGTTAGGGTTGCTTTTTTGATACTGTTAGAAGATCTTTTATATATAGATATCAAAAATGCGATTTATGCAACATATAGATATACTGACCGGTTATAGTATTCAATTTCATAGTGCAGCTCGATTAAATCGATTGTTTTACATGATTTTTGGAAATTTTAGAAAATCTAATAATATAGAAATCACGTGAAAATCACGATAATCTGATTTTATGATAATCTACGACATATAATATATATATTTTTTTAAAAATTAAAGAAGTTTTTAATAAGATAATCTTTCTTGGTCTTATAATTAAAGTTGTAGAGCTATTTTTTTTGATTCTAATAGTTTTTAGATCATTAAAATCAGCTTGGTGAATCCCAAGATATTTGGAATTAAAGATGTAAATATAAGGATCTACAAATTAGTAGTTATAGTCTTATCTATAATACTATCTTTTTATCTTTAATTTCAAATATCTTGGAATCTATTAGTCCAATTTTGATAATCTAAAAACTATTAGAACTAGAAAAAATAGCTCTACAATTTTAATTAGAAGACCAAAAAGAT